CTGAATCTGCTGTGGGCCTGGGACCTTGAGGAGCTGATGTGCCCCCATCCCTGATTTAGTAGGAGCTTGGCCTTTGGTTTCCCTGGTTAGGGAGAAACCGAAGATGACTGTGTCCTGTATGGTTAAAGGCTCCAGTTTTGGAGCCAGCCAGAGATTGGGAAGTCACTTAGCTCTCTGAGTCTTACCGATCCATGATCAATTAATTTACCAGGCGAGTACCTGCCTGGAAAGGCTGTTGTTGTGAGATCCATGAGGGCAGAGACTGTTTGCTCTCCACCAGCACCTGGCATGAATTAATCACCCTGCAAGTGTTGGTCTACTGCTCTTTTCTGGTTGCGTGGGACTAATAAGGGGTGGATGGGAATGGCTTAAGAGAGGGGAGAGGGAAGAGGGAAATATATGGTCAAGAAACCTCGAATTTTTGGGGATGGGGTCCCCTCAGCCCTTCTGCAGAGAGAAGATCAGGTTTGTAGCTGACATAGTGGTCAGATAGATCATGGCTTTTGGATTCAAGTTATCCTGGGTGCAAAAGCGACCTTGCTGTTCACCAGCGTTATATGCTTGCCTTCTCTGGCCTTAATTTTCTCATCTGTAAAATGGGGATTAAAGTGTCAACTTCTTAGGATTGTTTACATTTCAGTGATTTGTGGAAATATACTCTCTAGCTCCATAGAGTTTGTTTTCCAGAGAGCGAAGGCTCAGCCTTCTGCTTGAGTGGTCTCTGAGAGGTGGGGCAGAAAAGGGGGAAGGGCTGCAGAGGGGTCTTGAGCATGGGAGCCATTGTGAATTCTTAGATCCCTGGGGACTCAGAGAGAAGTGGGCTATTTGAGAAGGATGTCCCCAGGCAAGTTTGGGGGGCAGCACTTTACAGTTCTTTCTCTTCTACAGTCTTAACTACACCTTTTGGAGTTGCCAGAGGGATGTATTTCTTTTGACTCGGTCATTACCCAGCTTAACCTTCATTTTTACTGACCAACCTCCTGGGGCTCTGAATAAAATTCAGGCCCTGCCAAGGCTTGTGGGGCCCCACCAGATCTGACTCCTGCCCTCCTCTCACCTCCTGCCATTCTCTCCCTGGCTCACTGTGTTCCTGGCCTCTGTTCCGGGAAACCCACCGCTCCAGCCTCAAGGTCTTTATACTTGCCGATGCCCCTGTCTAGAAGGCTCTGTACTTTTGCTGCCTGGCTCCTCATATTGTTTGTTTGTTTGTTTGTTTTAATTTTTTGTTTTAATTTTTTTTAGCAAAGTTGAATCTTAATCTTTTATTTTGTATAAATGGATGGACAGGGCGCACTACACCCGCAGAATAAGGAGTTCAGCCACAGGCTGGGAAATTTTCTTCACCCAGTCACAATTTCTAGGCTTTGATATTTTTCTCCAACACAGTTGAATTTCTACAATTCAGGTTGAGGATTTGGTGTCCACCCCCATCCTTCTTATTCTTGAGGTCTCAGTTCCAATGGTCTTTCCTTGATGTCCTCTAAAGGCACCCCCTTCCTGCCACAGCTCCTCAGTCTCCACTATCTAAAATTATATTGCTAGTTTACCTCATTCATGTAGTCATCAAATGTTTATTGAGCTCACGGCATGTACCAGGATTCAGGCACTGGGGATGTACTGGTGAACAAGATAAGTTTTCCATTAGATATAGGCCCCAGTACTAGCTTAATAAATATTTGCTGATTGAATGAATGGGTACAATAACTTTATAAAGAGGAGTTATTGACCTAGTTTCTAAATAAGGTCATGGCTTGTGTGTGATGGTGCTGGATTTGAACGTGGACCTGACTTCCCTCCAAGTACCGCGTCCCTTACTGCCCTCACCTGTAAGCTGTTTCTTGGCTAATTCTGTTCTCCATGCCTGGTGATCCAGCAGAGACACTGAGTCCCAGAGTGAGGCCTGTGGGAAGAATCCTGGGCTGGAGGAGCAGGTCTGTACTGAAGGCCTGTCGCTGCTGTGTGACCTTAGAGAGTTCCCAGTGCTTCTCTGGGCTGCTGATGTCACCTTACCAAAGTGGGAAGAAAGTCCTTTGGAAAGTATGAGGCTAGCCCTGGCCGGTTTGGCTCAGCGGTTAGAGCGGCAGCCTACAGTCCATAGAGACCCGGATTCAGTTCCTGCCTAAGGGCACGTACCTCGGTTGCAGTTTGTCCCCGGCCCTGGTTGGGTTGTGCGGGTGGCAGCCACTCGATGTGTCCCTTTCACATCGATGTTTCTCTCTCTCTCTCTCTTCTCTCTCCCTCCCACTCTACCTGAACAAAAAATGGAAAAATGTCCTCGGGTGAGGATTAAAAAAAAAAGTATGAGGCTGAGCATACACACGAGGGTTACCACCAGCCAATGTGATGCCACCCTGGGCAGCTCCTGGCTTCCCGCTACTGTGTCCTGGGCTGGCTCCCACCTCTAAAGGGGCCTCCATCATGGCCGCGCCATCCCCACAGGCGCCATCCCCACAGGCACTCTGGCCTTCTGCCTGGCTACTCCGTACTCTGCACTCCTTCCCCGGGGAATTACCCTCAGCAGCCAGGAGGGCCTGGGGTGGGCACCATGCCAAGTGTAATCTAGTGGCTCTTCTACCTACCAGCTGGCAGCTGGGAGCCCTGCCTTAGCTTTGGCTCCTGACTATTTAGAAAAGGACTTGGGGACAGGGTTAGTGGTTTGCTTCTGGAAGTGAGTGTCTTCAGCCCTCCTAGTAATACTGTCCACCAGAGCCCAGCACCCACAGGCTGCAGCCTTCAGTCGCTCCGTGAGCCTGAGAGGGTTCCTGCCCCTGCACTCTACTTTAGGGGCGGGGTCGGTAGAGGGGCGGGACCAGTGGCGAGGGTAGGAGGAGGACCTGGAGAGCAGCCCCTCCCCCCAGCCTGGATCTGGGGCTCTGCAGCTGGGCGGGCTGGCGGACAGGCATCCTTTAGTGCGGGGTTGTGGTGAAGGCGTCGCCTGGGGCTCTGGAGAGATCGGGATAGGCACTGTCTGAGTGGGACTTGCAGTCATGGTGGTGCTCCTGGGCCGCCACCTCCCAGCGCTCCTCGGGCTCTTTAAGAAGAAGGGTGAGTGGGTGTGGCTGGGTCGGGGGAGAGGAGGGCTTCCCGACACCTCTATTTGCCAGACCCTGATGTAGAATAGGGGAATCAAGACGGGGGAAGGAAAATGGATGGGGGGTGGGGGCCAGTAATGAGACCAGACTCCCCTGTCCACTGCCATGCCTTTGTCCAGCCACTTTGCTGCTGCCTTTGTCTGGGCTGTGCCTGTGTTTGGGAGGATGGATCCAGGTGTCTCTGACCTTGAAGCCTGCAGCCCAGGGGCGAGACCGCCTCCCCCGCAGGGGTACCCATGCTTTACTGGGTACATCCTAGTACCTCAGTGCCCAGAGCAAGGGCACCCCCTCCCATTAGTGTCTGGGAGGAAGGAATGTGGGGAGCAGAGTAGAGGGGGAAATAGTACCACTGGAAGTTGGGGAGCATGATCAATGAGATTCTGTTTAGAGGCCTGGGGGTGAAGTTTTGGAAGGAGGGACCTGTGCCCATTTACTTGTCCTAGGAACTGGGCTTTCAGGCCTGGATTAAGACGTGGGGACCAGAGTTTATTGGACTTTTTGGGGGGCCAGAGGACCCCCCAGTTTGAGTGTGACCCAGGAATCCCCTCTGGGAACCCGGAATTTAGTCCTGGAGTTTAATTTGGCTCTGATTTGCTGACCTTAAACAAGACCTTTCTTTTTTGAGCCTGTTTCCTGATGTATAAAATCGGGATTGGGATTAGGCGAAGGGATCTCTGAGAGGTGTAGCTCTGACCTTGGGATTCCTGTGGGTTCCCTGGGCAGGAGCTGGCTGTTGAAGAATGGGCTGGGGAAGGAGAGACGGGCAGGTGTCAACTAAAGACCCTCATTTCAGGGCGTGGCCTTTTCAGGGCTTGTTTTGTTCTTGCTGTTGTACAAGGTGCTGCCAAAGTCACATGACTCTCCCAGTGCTTTTGCTTGTATTGTGGGTTCCAGTTAAAGGGGGGGCTGGGGCTGCAAAATGCTGACACAGCCCCCCATTCCCAGGATTAGATGACCAATTTCCCAATGGGCGGGGCCTGTAACAAGATCATTTGTAATGGATCTCTGGCTCCTCTGTAGGGGGGAACTTCCAGGAGAGGGGAGTAACTGGGACTGTTCTCCCAAGAGAGGCTGGAGCTTCCTTTACTGGGGGTGTAGGGGCCTGGGTCCCTCTTTTCCTCTGCCCTGCTTATTCTTCTACTAAAGGACAGCCACATGGGTGAGTAGGGGAACCAAGAGGCCATATCCCTGGTTTGTCCCTCCCTCCAAGACTTCTTGGTAATCTGGTTATGACTCCTGCTAGCCCCCACCTCTTCCTAGTGTCCCATGGTCTCTTCTGCCTGGACCTGGGCCAAGGTGTTTACGAAAAGGGTATTTGTTTTTCCCCTATAAAGTGGAACTTGAGGTCTGGAGATCAGAGAAATTTGTATTTCCTATGGGCTGTATGTATACTCGGTGTCTTGCATGGGGCCCTTAGTGTCATGTGGATACGCAGCTGTGTCTGTGTTTGAGTGTTATTTGTATATGTTTAGAATGGAGACTGTGGGTGTTGCATTTATACATGGTGGCTAGGTGTGCTCTGTGGGCCCCTGTGTGCAATGTGTGTACACAGATGTATTTATACTTGGGTGCTTTGTTTGTATACATACTAAAGCCTGTGGGTGTTATGTAAATATACGATGGGCCTGTGTGCCCTGGTTGTGGTGCCTGTATGGGGCCCTTTGGGTAGTGTGAGTACTTAGATCTGTGTGCACTTGGGTGGTTTGTATTTGTACATGGGGCTGTGTGTGTATTGAGTACATACCCCTGAAGTGTGGGTTGTGTCTACAGATTGGCAGAAGTGGGCATTGCCTGTCTGTGTAGGGCTGTGTGCAGTCCGGGCACTGTGAGTGCCCTTGTGGTGGTGCCTGTGCACCTGAAGGCCCAGATGCCTCCGGGCCTCACTTCTCTTTCTCTCCATCCCCCCAGGCTCAGCCAAGGCTGAGAGCGACAAACGTCTGAGTGTAGGGCCCGGCCAGGGGCCAGGGTCTGTAGTGGATGAGCACCAGGACAATGTCTTCTTCCCCAGTGGGCGACCACCTCACCTGGAAGAGCTGCACACACAGGCCCAGGAGGGGCTCCGTTCCCTGCAGCACCAAGGTAACCTTCCCCTCTCTCCAGCACTACTCTCAGCTCACAGGGCGAGAGGCCTAGCCCAACACACCTTTCTGGTATCTTCCAGAAAAACAGAAGCTCAACAAGGGTGGCTGGGACCATGGAGACACCCAGAGCCTCCAGGTGAGCCCTGCCCCCAGTCTGACTCTTACTTCTTCCTCCCTGTTTGACCTCTGGCAGGTATGTCTCTGAACCTTTCTGAATTTCAGTTTCCTTCCTGTATCATGAAGGGCTAGACTAGATGAGGACCCCTGAGGGCTCGTCCAGCTGCTGTCTGCTCAGTGCTAGGTGATACGGGGGGCAAGCTGAGTCAGAAGTTCCAAGGGGGAACCCTGAAGGCAATAGTAAACCCCATCCAGGCTTCTGGGGTGGTCTTGGGTCTGAGGCCAGGGCCTGATCTCCTTTTTCCCTCAACAGTCCTCCAGGACCGGGCCAGATGAAGACAGCATCTCCTTCTGCAGCCAGACCACATCCTACACTGCTGAGAGCTCCACGGCGGAGGATGCTCTTTCCATCCGCACGGAGATGATTCAGCGCAAAGGTTGCTGCTCATCAGCTGGGGTTCTTGGACAGGGAGGGGGTGATGGGCACCATCTGAGTCCCTACACCTGCAGCCTCCTCTTTTCCTCCTAATCTAATATTTCTCAAGGCTCTGATTCAGTGAATTCAGGAAACACAGTACTCTGTGTGCTCTTGGAGAGTCATGATGCACATTAACTGCAAAGTAGAACAGTTAAGAGTTGGAAGCGGGTTTGAACCTGATATTGCTGCTTATCAGCTGTGTGCCCTTGGGTCAACCCTTAACCTCTCTGAGCTGTTTGATGTCCTATAAAAATGAAGACAAGGGTACTTATATTATTGGAACGAATGCCAAGTATTTAGCATGCTAACATAATAAGTCTTCACTAAATGGAAATTATCACTATTCACCTAGTAAATGGTAAAGCCTTCTAGAAAGAAGTCTTATAGAAAAGAAGCATCTAATTTTGTTTAACCTAGCTTTGCCCTACCTGCTATGGAAATCTTTTTTTACAGAGTTCTTACTAACGTTTTAACAAAAACGATTGTTCTGCAGAATGTCCTGAGACCTGCTCTAATGGTTTCTCTCCCCTGTACTGGCCCCCAGGCTCCACCTTCCGACCCCATGACTCATTTCCCAAATCATCAGGGAAGTCAGGGCGGCGGCGGCGGGAACGGCGGAGCACGGTGCTGGGGCTGCCGCAGCATGTGCAGAAGGAACTTGGTGAGCCCTGGATTAGGGGGGCAGCAGTGGTGTGGGGGGAGCCCCTGCCAGCCTCTCTGCTGACTCCCAAGTCCTTCCTGTCTGTCCCAGGCCTGCGGAATGAGCGTGAGGCACCAGGCACTCCTCGGCCTCCTGGTCCACGGGATGCTGTGCGAATCCCCACGGTGGATGGCCGCCCGGGGAGTCTGGCCTCAGGATCAGGATCCGGGGTCCGGGTGTCCCTGCAGGCACTGGAGGCGGAGGCGGAAGCTGGGGCCAAAGCAGAAGCCATGCTGCAGCGCCACATCAACCGTGTCTACCGGGATGACACCTTTGTTGGCCGGTCCACAGGGGCTCAGCCCCCGCCAATTCCACGGCCCATGTCCCTAGCAGTGCCCGGACTGACAGGAGGGGCAGGGCCTCCAGAGCCTCTGAGCCCGGCCATGTCCATCTCGCCCCAGGCCACCTACTTGTCGAAACTGATCCCACATGCTGTGCTGCCACCCACAGTGGATGTGGTGGCCCTGGGCCGCTGCAGCCTGCGCACCCTGAGCCGCTGCAGCCTGCTCTCCGCCAGCCCGGCCTCCGTCCGCTCATTTGGCCGCTTCTCCTCCGCCTCCAGCCCGCAGCCCCGTAGCCGCCACCCTTCCTCCTCCAGTGACACCTGGAGCCACTCTCAGTCCTCGGAGACCATTGTGTCTGACGGCTCCACCCTGTCTTCTAAGGGTGGCTCTGAGGGCCGGCCAGAGGGCTCTGTAGCTAGCAACAGTGTGGTGCTCCCTCCCCAGGGGGGCAGCGGGAGGGGCTCTCCCAGTGGGGGCAGCACTGCTGAGGCCTCAGACACTGTCAGCATTCGGAGCAGTGGGCAGTTGTCCGGCCGGAGTGTGTCCCTACGCAAGCTGAAGCGACCCCCTCAACCGCCCCGCCGGACCTACTCACTCCGTCAGCGGGGCTCGGCAGCCCCTGATGGGCCCTTGGGCTTGCCCCCCAAGCCAGAGCGGAAGCAGCAGCTACAGCTGCCTCGGCCACCCACCACTGGTGGGTCAGAAGGGACAGGGGCAGCACCCTGTCCATCCAACTCAGCAGGCAGCTGGGTGCCTGGCTTGTCTCCAGGTGGCTCCCGGCGCCCCCCACGCTCCCCAGAACGGACGCTCTCACCCTCCAGTGGATACTCGAGCCAAAGTGGTACCCCTACCCTGCCTCCCAAGGGTCTGGCTGGCGCCCCTGCGTCCCCAGGCAAGGTCCAACCCCCTAAACCAGAGCGAGTCACTTCCCTCCAGTCTCCTGGGGCCTCTGTCTCCTCCTCCCTCACATCTCTGTGCTCCTCCTTCTCTGACCCAGCCCCTTCAGATCGATCTGGTCCACAGATGTCAACTGCTCTTAGTGACAGGTTTGTCATACCTCCTCATCCCAAGGTGCTTGCTCCCTTCTCCCCACCTCCCTCCAAGCCCAAGAGTCCTAACCAAGCTGCCCCTGGACCCGTCTCTACCACTGATGTCAGTCCCGAGTCCCTTTCCACCCCCCAGACATCCCTGATCCCATCACAGGAATCTCCCATTGCCTCTAAAGACCAGTCGCCCCCACCATCCCCACCCCCATCTTATCATCCACCCCCACCACCCACTAAGAAGTTAGAGGTGGTTGAGGAGGCCCCATCTGCCCCAGAGACTGGTGAGGAGCCCCTCCAAGATCCCAGCTGGCCCCCACCCCCACCCCCTGCGCCTGAGGAGCAGGACCTGTCCATGGCTGACTTCCCCCCACCAGAGGAGGCCTTTTTCTCTATGGTTGGCCCTGAACCTGCAGGCCCTTCACACCCTCCAGCCCCTGTCAACTCCCTGGCTGCTTCACCCTCAGCTACTCTCTCTTCTCAGAGCCAGTCCCATGGTACCCCAGACCCTCCATCTCCGCCAGCGCCCCCTGCTGGTTCTGTCACAGGGCAGGGCAAGCTCCCTCGGAAAGAACCATTGGGCTGCAGCAAGGGCAATGGGGTACCTAGGGAGGATGCCGGTGCACCCCTGGTCACACCCTCACTCCTGCAGATGGTTCGACTGCGTTCTGTGGGTGCTCCCACAGTGGCTCCAACCCCAGCATCGGGGCCATCAGCCCCCCAGAAGCCACTACGAAGGGCCCTGTCAGGGCGGGCCAGCCCAGCACCTGCCCCCTCCCCAGGGCTCCATGCTGCTGTTCGACTCAAGGCCTCCAGTCTGGCTGCCAATGAGGGTCTTGTGAATGCCCAGCCCAATGGGCCACCTGAGGTGGAGCCACGGTCTCCTCAGTCCCCTGCCTCTATGGCTAGCTTCATCTTCTCCAAGGGCACTAAGAAGCTGCAGCTGGAGCGGCCTGTGTCCCCTGAGAACCAAGCTGACCTCCAGCGGAATCTGGTGGCTGAACTTCGGAGCATCTCAGAGCAGCGGCCACCCCAGGCCTCAAAGAAGTCACCTAAGGCTCCCCCACCTGTGGCCCGCAAGCCCTCTGTGGGAGTACCTGCACCCACCTCCCCCAGCTTTCCTCGGGCTGAGCCCCTTAATGCTCTTCCGACCAATGGGCTCCCTCATGCTGAGGGCAGGACTAAGGGGGAGCCAGCGGAGAATGGAGGCGTCGTGCAGCTGGTGGGCCCGGGGGAGAAGCTGGGTCCGCCTGGCTCAGGTACAGTGGGCAGTGGTGGTGTGTGGGTTCCGTTGCTGGGGCTAGGACGAGGTATCTTGCTCACCATTAGGGATTGCTCTTGGATCTTCAAGGTTGCAGGTCCCAGGATGCCTGCGAGGGTGGCCTGCACCCTTGAGCTCCAGGGAAGAAGCATGGTGTGTGGGGCGTTGGAATCCGAACTACTGAGTTTGAATTCCAACTTGGCCATTTTATCCACCCTTCCTAGCCTCAGGCTCCTCACTGTCAGGTTTGGGCAATGGTGCCTGCACTATAGAGATAATATTTATAAATGTTTTTTTTAACCCTCACCCGAGGATATTTTTTCTATTTATCTTCAGGTAGAGTGGGAGGGAGGGAGAAACATCGATGTGAGAGGGACACATCAACTGGTTGCTTCCCACATGAACCCGACCTGGGCTGGGGACGAACTGTAACTGCGGTATGTGACCCTGACTGGAATCGTACCTGCGACTCTTTGGTCCGCGGGCTGATGCTCTTAACTGCTGAGCCAAACCAGCCAGGGCAGTATTTGTCAAGTGTTGAGTGCAGTGCTGCTAGTATGGTCAGTAAATTGAGGGGGTGAGGTAGGAATGTGCCTTGGCTCTCTTCCAGAGCCAAGCGGGGTGCCCCTTGCTGAGTAACCCTTCTCTTTTCCCTACAGAGCCACAGAAGGAGCTGGTCTAACCACCAGGCATCTCACTGGCACTGCTGACCCATCCCAGGAATACAATCTCAGGGACCTGAGCAGCTCCAAGGATGAGAGGATACGGCAGACACTTACCCTGATGGAGAGGATGCCTGCAGCCTTAACCTCCACGGCCTTCAATATTTATGCAAGCCTGGTGTTGACCCTGTCCTCCAAGTCATCCAGCTCTCATGCCTTTTCCCGAATGGAGTCACCTCTGGCGGCTGCCACTTCTGTCTTGGCCTTAGCATCTCGAAGGAGGTAGCTGGTGGGAGTGGGCGGCTGTGCCCCATGCTGGCTCTGAGGCCAGAGTTGGGAGAACACCCCACTTGAGTTTCTTTTTTTTTTCATGTCCAAATCAAGCACACACTGTAGTCCAGAATCAAAGCACTTTTGAAAAGAGACTGCATGTCCATCCTCCAGGGCCCATGAAGCCACATTCCACGGGCCTGTTTACATGGCGGCAGCATCGATTGGTGGTAGCCAGCCATAGCTGGGACCACCCCCTCCCTCCCATCCAGTTTGCTCCTTTTCTTAGTTCTTGGAGGTGGGTGAGTCACTGTATTCCCCTAGGCTGGAGGCAGGAGTGAGGCTGTGGAATTCCAAAGCACAAAGGTGCAGCAAGGGTTAGCCTTCTGTGCCTCAACTTACCACCAACCCAACCACCCTCCTGCCTTCCAGTTATGCTTGGTGCTCCATGCAGGGAACAAGTGGGGAGCAGCCAGGGCCCGAATGGGTACGGAAAGAACTAGAGAGGAGGTCCACAGGCTCTGTCCTCAGAACAGAGTAGGGAGTCATCTCGGGGGACACTTGGCAATGCCAGGCATCTGTTCTTTGTTTCACCGATCAGGTTGTGGGGGGCAGGCGTAGCACTTCAGAGTGGGCTGTGGCAAAGCTGGGTTCCCTTTCAGCTGGGCAGTGGTAGTACTGAGGAGGTGGGTGGAGGGGAGGGTCTGGCAGGGGGAGAGCTTATTTGGGCAATGGGTCCCGCCCCAGATTTCATTCTCTGACCTTTCTTTCTTCGCCTGGGTGCATGTCCGCCGTGCAGCTGCTTTCAGCACAGGTGGTTCCACTGGGGGGACTGATGCTGAGTGACAAGCACGGGAAGCCAAAGGTGCATTCTATTCCAGACTCTTCCCTAGTCAATGGAGGGGGCACTCAGTGTTCTAAAGGAGCAGGCTGGGTGGTTGCCCTGTCTCCTCCAGGAATTCTAATGACCTTTCTGTTTTCAGCCTGTGCCACCTATCTAGGTAAGCTGGCTTCCCCACTGGCCCCTATGGCTCCACAGTGACCCAGGCTTGAGTCTGGCAAGGAACCTTGCCATTAGCTGTTATTTCCCATCAAGGAGAGACTGACCTCCTCCCAGAGCAAGAGCTGGGAACACAGGATGTGGTACGAGAGAGAGCCCAGGTTTCTCTGGCCCTCTCTCACCACTTCCTCCTGTAGCTGTAAACCAATGTTCTTCCCTTGCCCTTTGGGTAATGAAGAGCTGCTGTTGGGTACATGTTGTGCCTGCCCAGTGAGTTGGGAAAAGAAGGTGGTCAATAAGCATCGCTCTGCTCAGAGCTCCTGATCCAACCCCCCTGGAACCAGGACCGGGCCAAAGCTTCCTTGAAACCAGGTCCTGGCAGCAGCCTTGGAGCTGCTGAGGGTGGGAAGGTGCCCAAATTCTGTCTCTTTCCCTCTCTTCTCCTCTCAATGTTACTCAAGCTCCTTTTCCTCAGTTAGAATCTTCTGAGTTTATTTCCCCACTGGGTGGGACAGTACAAAGGAGAAGGGAGGATCTAGAAGTAACCCTTCTTTGTCCTCTGGGGTAAATGAGCTTGATCTAGTGCAAATGGAGAGACCAAAAGCCTCTGATTTTTATTTCCATAAAAATGTTAGAGAGAGAAATATATATATATTTCTTTAAATTTTTTCGTCTTTGATATGTCTGTACCAACAATCCATCCCCTCTGCCCTAAAGCCTGAATGAGACACATGAAAAAGCTGTGTTTCAAAGGTGTTAATTAAATGATTAAAACTTGGCTGCTCCTGCTGCTGTTTTTTTTTTCTTTCCGTTTATTTTCAGATAGAGTGGGAGGTGGGGGGAGGAAGAAACATTGATGTGAGAGAGACACATTGATGGGTTGCCTCCTGCACGGGCCGGGGACCAAACTGCAACCGAGGTACATGTCCCTGACCTGAATGAACCCACGACTCTTTGGTACACAGGCCGATGCTCTAAACGTTGAGCCAAACCACCAGGGCTGGCTGCTGCTTCTTAATGGGGTGGGGGAGGGGCAGGGTGGTGGTTGGGGCCCACATTTAGAAGGGAAAATGTTCTCCCTGCAAACATTGGACCTCTCAAAGTGGGCCTGCTCTGCTTAGCCAGCCAACGAGAATGTCAGGTGTTCACCCTCCATCCTCCAAACCTCCCTCCCTCCCTCACCTCACAGGGTCAAAAGTACAAGATACAAGCAGCTCCAGGCTGGGTGAGGGGCCCAGCAGCTGCTACACACTTGTGTTCCTCTCTCCTGAGATGGTTCCAGTTCACAGGCCTCATCCAGACACCCTTTTCCAGACATTTTATTTGAATTCATGACAGTGATAGTGATACCGACTCAGATGCCTTATGGAGAAGTACCCCACCCTCTATGAAGAAAGAATCAGGCCGTACCATCCGCCCCTACTTCTGACATTAACAACACAGCTGGTTTAGGGATTTTCCCAAACGAGCAGAGTTAAGGGAAATGCCAGGAGCCCAGGGCTGGCCCTGCCTCCAGTGCCAAGCCTTAGGGCTGGCAGGCACTGGCAAATGCTGCCAACCACGTGGTAGACCACTAGGTTCTGCTTCCCCTTCTCTTTTCAAATCCCACAATTTCCTGTTGGGGAGAAGCTGTAATTAATCCAGTTCAGGCACCAGATCCCAGGCAGAGGTACAGCTGCTGGGGTAACTCTAGGAAAACCTGGAAACCAGTATTTTCCCAATTAGAAGGACTGTGACATAAACATTTTCTGTGAGTTATATTAAAACCAGATTTCTCAACTCAGCTGCCAAGGGAAGAAGGTGACTCCCTGCTGCTGCCCAGCCCTCGTTACCACCTGGGAGGTCAGCCTCCCACCGTGGCCAGACTGCGACAATCCTGGGCCCCAGGGGTGGCTGAGCTGCCTCAGCAGTGCTGCAGCGAATAAAGTCCCAAACTTCCTGCTTCAGTGTCCTGGGAGGTGGGTAAATGGATGCTAGATGGAGCAAACTAAGGAGACAGATGACTTAGACCGATGGGAGAAGGGTGGAAGATGCCCGGTTAGCTAGCTGATGTTCCCCCCAGTCAGCGATTTACAGGAGATGTACCCCAGCTTGGTCATGAAGTTGGTTTGCTTCCACTGTGCGATGCACTCCTCAGAAATTTTAAAGTCAGCCTGGACAAAGAACAAAAAAGCGATTATAGTGACGGTGATGGCACGGCGACTCAACTTCTCTAAGAAAACAGTTTGTCAGAGGCTTCCACGTTCACATCTTTTGAATCAGGCAAGCCCAAAACCTTGCTGGAGGCAATGAATGACAAAACTGAAGCTGCCCTATTTGGGGCACATCACGAGAAGGCAGAGTTCCTTGGAAAAGACAAGGCAACAGGAAAAGAGGAAGCCCAAATGTGAGACGGACTGACTATAAAAAGCCAAAGACATACATCCATAGGAGCTGAGCAGGGCTATTATGAACAGGATACTGTGGACATCACTCATTCATAGGATCACCGGGAGTTGGAGCCAACTTATTGGCACAAAGATCATTTTAGGGACTTAGTTTAAGAAAATAATCATGGCCTGGCCAGTGTGGCTCAGTGGATTGAGTGTCATCCCATGGACTGAGGGGTGCCGGTATGATTCCCAGTCAAGGCACATGCCCGGATTGCAGGCTTGATCTCCAGTGGATCGCGTCGATATTTCTATCTCTCCCTAAAGAAAAAAGGAACTAGGTACCAGGACATTCTAATAGTGAAAAATAGAACAACTTCAATGTCTAGTAAGGGAAATAATTTGGTTAAAAAATGATAATTATGATATAATACTGTAAAATAAGATCCCCCCTTAATATTTAAGAAAATAGGGAAGTTTTCAGGCATAAAGTTAAAAAAAAAAAAAAAGGCATGATTCACACTGTAACTATGAAGGAAATAAATCACTAATGACATTTTCAGTGTCCAGGTGGTAGGACTATGGGTATTTTGTTTTCTTCATGTCCTATATATTTTTTTACATATTTACATCAAAAATTTATTTTATAACCAGAAAAAAAATCAGTGATTCATAAAACCATCCTGGAGAGCCAGGAAAGGAGGGAGGGGACAAAGCCATGTGGCACTTGCAGGAGAATGGAGAGGGAGAAACCATTAGGCATGCCCTCCAGAAACCCTCTGTCTAACTGAGGAAACAAGTTATCTCAGTACACGTGCTGCAAACAGTTAATTAACTAGCAACAGTTACTTTATTTTATTTTTTTTATCCTCACCCCAGGACATTTTTCCATTTTTTGTTCAAATAGAGTGGGAAGGAGAGAGAGGAAGAGAGAGAGAGAGAAACATCGACATGAAAGGGACACATTGCACGACCAACCAGGGCCGGGGACAAACTGCAACCGAGGTACATGCACTTAGCAGGAACCGAACCTGGATCTCTCTGGACCACAGGCCGACGCTCTAACCGCTGAGCCAAACCGGCCAGGGCTAGCAACAGTTATTAACTAGAAAAAGTCACACATGTAGTGGTAGTTCTATGAGGGGAAGGAATTTTCGCTGCTTTATTCACTGATGTTGCACCCAGAACTATGCCAGGCATATATATTAGGGACCCAGTATCTGCTGAGTGAATGAATTCCGGGGCACTGGGACAGGCTGAATATGAATCAGTGCCCCAGAGAAAGAAGGAAGAACGAGTGTTCCAAGATTAAGGAGGGCGACAGTGACCCCAGGAGGGTTTTGATCCTGGCTCCCCACTTCGGGTGACCCTGTGTGGCCTTGGCAGGTATCCTGCCAGGTAAAATGGGATCATCTATCAGACTAAAGAGCAAATGAGGAACTGTCTGAAGTCCCTCATGCAGAGCCCCAAGTAGCCTGGGGGTGCTCCGTGCATGTGAAGGCCCCGTGCTCCTTAGGCACCTCGTTCGGAAAGGTCTGAAATGAAGGAAGAGAGGCACTGGCAGAAAGGCCCAGCTGGGAAGAGGGCAGGTTTGGATTCATTAACAGTCTG